GCTGAAAAGTTCACTTTTGTAACCCCTCCAAAGCGTTTCATATAGGGGGAACCGGTTTGTTTTGATTGATCGGTTTTCTTCCCCATTGCTGATTTTGCCTTATACGGACTTGACGGTACTTCCCTAATCGACAATCCACGCACGTGGGAGCCTCAGTTTATTTGCTGTTGGTGTCGGCTGGGAAATTTGTGTTCCTGGTGGAGACTGGTGCTGGGCTACAAAGGGTCCATCCGGTTCCCAGATCTCTCCCGTAACGCGGGAGCTCTTCCGGTGAACTTCCGGACCTGGGTGCCCCCGCTCCCGCCACCGTCACATGACGAGACTTCCAGCCGACCAGACGAACCTCGTGAGCCCGACTCGGATGCTTAAGGTGTTCATTGTCTCCTTGACCCCCGCCAAGAAGGATGGCGTGAACCTGACACGAGATAGATTTGTTGTCTCCTTTTTCTTTTTGGCGGTTATGCCTGGTGTCGAATGAGTTGTGTTTCTGTCCTTAAGCTGACGGGCAGACTTTTGCCCATGCCCCGCTCTTCGGCGCTTATCTAAATTTTGGACTTTTGCGGTTATCTCCGTCAACTAGAGTTTCCGAAACGACCCTCGGGGCTGAGGCGAGAACCCCGGTTTCGCCCTGGCGGTTCAACCCCGCCCCAAAATCCTCGGCCACGCCCCAATTACTCTGATCAGTGTCCCACAGGTACGGGACGTTGTGTGGGGTGTGAGGTTGTGTATCACACGTCGCCCAGCCAGGCATTCTGGCTTTGGGCGACCTTGTGGCCACACTACTGAATCTGCACGCTGGCATGCCGGTGGGGCACTGGCTGGAAGCGCACACGGGCACTGTTTGGTGTAGGTGCTGCAAGTGTGCAGCCGACGTGATGCATCCATAGTCGGGCATGCCTCGTGGTGGCTGGTGATGGAGAAAGAGAAGATACACATACCTGATGTATATGCGGTGGTCTGCATGGGCGACTTCTTCGTGTACATTAGTCTTCGGCTGAAGTGATTCCTGGTTGCATTGTCGTAGATTGATAGGCTAGTATAGGTGCTGGAAGATCGTAGGCTGGGCGCTGAGCACCATATGAGAAGGGCAACATTGGATACATGGTTGATGGTGGCAAGAGAGGGCTGACATTGACATATGAGTTCATCATCGTGCTCTTATCTGGCTTGCATCTGAGTGCAATCTACTTTCTGTTTGGCACAGGACTATCTGGTCTTTGATGTGATGATGTAATTTGGTTTTCTGTCTATCACTCTCACTCATTTTCCTTGCACAACCTAATCTTTCTTAGATTTTGACTGCAGATCTTCCGTGCTTAAATGTGTGTTCGCAAATTTCTATTCCTGAATTTTGGTTGAAAATCCTAATTTCTTGTTCGCCATAACTCTGCCATGATTCTGCGTACAGAGCTACGTACTAGGGCCCTTCAATTACTTCGTAATTTTGTAGCTTGAATTTCTGGTTCACGCCAGTTGAGGAAAGTACATCCAGATTTGGATCAAAGGGTGTTTTTTCTCCAGCTCCCCCTTCCGTGTTGAGGTTGCACAGAGGGGGGAGTGCTGTCTGGCTAAGTGGGGAAAGTAGATGTTGGATATGATGCATCCTGCAGGTGATGGGGTTAGCTGGTAGGACGGGACTAGGGCATAGCGGCAACGGAGATGGTGGCTCTGCTGTAGTAGGTGCCGGAGTAGGGTTTACGGGGAAGGTGGGCGGGATGGGTGCGATCGGCATCGACAATTTCAGATGAGGTGTAGTTTTATTTGCAATCCTTCTTTTCCTTTCTTTCTTTTTCTTTTTACCACAAAACGCCTCCTTTGGTGCTAGTGGTGCTGGTAAGAGCAGGCACCGCTAGCACCTGGGGAGCGGCTCCGTCTATTGATGGGGAGTATCATCTGTGCTGGAAAGCGGGTCCAGCGTCACATATACAGAATAGATTTGGAGAACCCCTGCCAGCATTGATTACTCTGGAATATCTGGAAATTCGTTCAAAATTCCAATGTATCATTGTATCATCAATTACATCATCAACAGGTGAGCTTCTCGGTGGGGAACTTTATGATCTTTCCAAGTCAAGCCCTGGTGGCAGAAGGATCAGGGCTGAATGGCTTCTTCGGGATCACTGGTTCCGGGTTAGCATTTTTGGCTCAGAGAATGGGAGCCCTGCTCCGCTGTAGCAAGTGCCAGAGTAGGGTTTAAGGGGAAGGTGGGTGGGCTGGGTGTGCTGAGTGCGATCGGCATTGACAATGTCAGATGAGGTGCAGTTTTATTTGCAATCCTAATTTGAAAATTCGTTCAAAATTCCAATGTATCATCAATTACATCATCAACAGGTGAGCTTCTCAGTGAAGAATTCTATGATCTTTCCAAGTCAACCCCTGGTGGCAGAAGGACCAGGGTTGAATGGCTTTTTTGGGATCACCTTGTTCGGGCTTAGCGTTTTTGGCTCAGAGGATGGGAGCCCTGCCTTGCAAGGACTACACAAGGTGGGAGGCGTAGATCTCTGAGAGGGTAGGGGCAGAGATGAGGGCTTGCTCTATTCTGGTGCTGGGGATGGCCGTGGGTCGGATCGGCTCTGGCGGTTGGGGACAGAAAGAGATGAGGGGTGCTGTTTTCAGCAGGGGGCGGTGTCAGGAGGGATGTCTAATTTGGAGAGGGTGGGATGGGGGGATTGGGGAACCACGGCTCCACAGGGGCTTACTTTTGGCGGGAACTGTATGTCCTTGAGGGAGTGGGGGTGTCCATTTAGGGGGCTTGTCCTGAACTGGGGCCAATGATTATGAGGAGAACGGGCTCCTCTCCACAGGGGCAGTTCAAGGGCAGGAGGAAGGTTCTTCTTGAATGGTGGAAGAGGTGCTGTCCTCTCCTTCCTCAAAAGATACAGTGGCCATTTTCTTTCGCCTTTATCACATTTGGCGAGTGGTGGCTCCTGCACAAGGATTACACGCATAAATCCAGAGAAGGGGTGTCACGTCACTCCATTACTCTAGACTTTCAAGTCCTTCAAGAGCTGTCGGACTCTCTAAACAACTGAAATTCCAATCACTTGCTCTCAAAATCGGGGCTCTCAAACTTCAAGAGCACTACCGGACCACCGCATGGCCCACTCTTGAAATAGGAGGCGCTGCGCTCCAGGTCCGGCCGACCACCTTCTCGCGTGCTCTCGAAGGATGGCATCTGACAGCTCTTGAAAGGGGTTTTCAAGAGTACATTTCGAGCAACTGAAGACAGCGCATAGTCCTTTCTGATAGCTCTCGATCTCGGGTGTTTTCAAGGCCCCGATTCAAGTGGAAGTGAATCAGACTCTCAAAATTTCAGAAAGTCCAGGGGAGGGACAGCCGTGGTCCTCAAACGGTCCAGTTGATGTTCCACACGAATAGAATGCAGCTGCTGGTCTTTCAACAACAAAAAAAAAAAAGATACACTCGCCAATTCTTTTTTTTCTTTCGTTTTCACTCTCCCCTATGCTCACGTTTGGCGAGCAGGGGAAGGGCCACGGCCTTGGGATGTCATTATGGAGCTGACCGGTCCCAGTTAAGTCAGAATTGTCTCGTTGATGTGATTTAGAGGGGATTCGAGCTTGTGTTGTTTATCAACACAGTTCATGGGTGTACCATTCATTCAGCCACAATCGCACTGGTCTCACGACATCCTTCAGGAGGAGGCAGAGCAAACAGCAAACAGAAAAGCCGTCGAACACATTCTAGCGGGCAAGCGTCATGCTCTGCTGAGAGGTGCGTGCGCTGGAGGCGTTCTCTTGTTTGTTATTTTAGAGACGATTCTGGCGAACGTGACCTTGATTGCGAGCGTTTCACGACTCGCCCAACGTGGAACTGCTGGCGAGTGTGTTGCCGAAGAACGCCGCAAGGTACATTCGCCACTTTCAGAAGGGCCAGTTGTGGAATGAGGAATGAGGCCCACGCCTGCTGCTCTCACTTGGCCTACTACGTATGACCCTCACTTTCAGCATCGAGCCGGCCCCTACCCCTACAACCCATCCATACAGACAACCTGGCCTCTCTCTAGCCCTTGGACGCACCACAGGCACCTTCGTCGGTCACTGCAAGTTCCAATCTCGGTCTTCTTGGCTCCGCTACAAACATTATACATGTATCTGGGATGTGTGCAGACGAGATAAATTCAGACTGATCCATTATTTTGAATGTATCAGCCACATTAGCCAGGTCCAGATACACTCAGCATGTTGGCCAGTGGAGCGAGGCCAGGTCCAGATACACTTAGAATGTTGTGCAGTGAAGCGATGCCACAGTCATCACCAAACAGGAATATCAGCAACCAGGTATTCAGGACAGTTCGACATCGCCTCAAACATTCACTCAGCACTCACGAGGCATGAAAGAGAAGACAACAGGTCCCAAACCGGGAAACGAAGGAAAAGGGACAAACAAATGCTGCGCTTCGCATTGACCTTGACCTCCGTTCATCTGCCCTCCACCCCAGCGCCGCTGCCCTTCACCAGGTCTTCCTCCTTCAGCTTCTTCTCCCTCCCCTTCGCCTTTCCTTTCTCTGCTGGCCTTACATTTCCGTGTCCTGTCATGTCCTGTCCACTCTTCTCGTCCCTCTATTCCCCCCCCGGCCCCCTCCCTCCTCTTTTCTATCTTCCCCGCTCCACCTCCCTCCTCTTTCCTGAACCTCCGGCCCCGGGCCTCTGTCTTGTCTTTCCTCCTCTCTCTTTATTCACCCGTCACTTATTCCTCGTCACCGTCGCTGTAATCAGCCGGCTTTCCCCTTCGGATTCTGACATTTAACCACCGCCTCCTCCTCCTCCTCCTCCTCCTCCTCCTCCTCCTTGGCTTCATTCTGTCTCGCACTTCTTTCGATAACGAGCTGAATTGAATGAGGACGCTTCGAAAAACTGAAAAACAATCTATGGGAATAGACCCACATGCCACAGTTTGCTTTTTGTAGGCGCGTCCTACCCCTGAACTTAACCATCGTGACCCGCTCCCGCAGGCGTTCTCTCGTACCATCTCCTACTCACCTTGGTTTTCTTCCCGGCGATCTCGGCCAGCGATGCCGTCCGCGTATGGCGAGAGGTAGGCTGTGCAAACAACAGCAGCGGCCGTCATAGCCATCTGCGTGACGTGCATGAGAGCCGTGTGAGCATGCTTGGAGGCGGCGGCAGACATTGCGACAAGAGGCAAAGCGACAACTGCCGCGCGTATGCAACGGAGGCGCCTCTGCGCATCAGTCGAGTTCCCTTGGGTCGGGATCGTTGTGGGTGTGAGAAGACCGGGGCAGCAGCGGAAGACAAGGCCCTTGCGATGTAGTCTGGTCGCTTCACCCAGTCTGTGCGACGCCTCCAAGGAGGCTGATAACAGCGATCTTCCCGCACTTAAGCAGCGACGCGGCCAGAGGTAAGAGCACGCCGCTCCCCCCCAGGAATGTGGAAGCACCGCCATCGCCGCTGCTGTCGACGCAGCAGCAGCCGCAGCCGTCGGCCCCGATTCCAAGCGTGCGGCTCGACGCGCGGGATGGCATCCGGGAGCAATCAGGGAAAGTCGTCGCTGTGCCACCGACGGAGATGACCAGTGCGCGGCGATCATCGATGCATGAAGCAACGTCATCACAGAACGCCCTCGCGCCACGACGACAGAGTTAGGGAACAGCTGCGCGCCGGCCGAAGTGGGTCCCGCACAACGGGGCAGCATAATACACGACCCCGTGCTGCCCCCGCCCGAGCTTGTCGTCGAACACATGGCGTTGCCAAGCATCTTGAATTGCCAGATCTATCAATCTATCAATCTATCAATCTTATCGATCGACTCCTCGCTGATGGCGCTCAAACTGCTCCAGCACCACAGCCTCCGAAGCCCTTCGACTTTGCCCCGACCGCCCACTCGCCCTCCGCTTTAAGCTTGAAACTGGACTTCCCGACTCTGTGTGTGTGTGTGTGTGTGTGTGTGTGTGTGTGTGTGTGTGTGTGTCTGCGTGTGAGTGCAAGTGTCGGTCAGTCCATGGTAGCGCTGCGCTATGACGGAGATACGCTACTGATTGAATCGAGAAAGAAGCGGAGAAACGACGTTCCGTCGATCCCCTTCGTACCGAACCTGCAAGCGAGACGGAAACGACCCTCCATCCTTGCCACGCTTTTTGTATCCGAGTGCATTTCTCTCTCTCTCTCTCTCTCTCTCTCTCTCTCTCTCTCTCTCTCTCTCTCTCTCTCTCTCTCTNACGACCTATAAAAAAGAGAAGAGTTTAGCTGTACGCACACTAGTCGCAGAGTACTTTGGTCGCAGAGTGTTTCTGCTGCACTTGCGCTGTGGGTCTGAGACAAGAGAGAGGGCGGAGCTTCGGGGCCTGTAAGGGGCTGTCTCTCTGTGGGAGCGCCTGGAGATTAAGTTCTTGGTTATCCTGAGTGCCAATGGCACTACACGGCTATAGGCCTGGGTGTTGGCGGCACACGGTGCGTTGGGTTCCAGTGTCGGGTGAAGGCCCTCTGATTACGACGGCCCTGAACTATGATGGGGGAGAGGTAGTCCGACTGAAGGTCTGCATAGAAGGGGGGAGAGAGGAGGAGATGCGAGGTGATGAAAGGCTACAGACTGCCATTTTCGAAGCGCGCGACAGGGCGGAGCGGAGGTGCAGATGAGACGGGGTGACCGTGGGCTTGAGGGTGACGGTCATCTATCACGAGACCGAGTCATCAACTGGGGCCGAGACAAGGGAGGAACAACATAACGAGAGAGACTCAGGTGGGGAAAGCGAAATGAGCGAGGCAGACCGAGAGACGGACCTCAGGTCCTGGAACAGACCCGAGGAAATCCAAAAGCACCACCGAGCCACTGAGTCAGTGGAAAGAGGACCCGAGGCCAGCTCTCGACAACGGACACCGAGGGGCTGCGGGACAAGGGAGAAGCAAAACAGGGGGAAAGGACGTGTGTAAGGCAGTGGTGTCCAGAGAGAGAGAGAGCGCAAGAAGGCGGTCAACGAAGAAGAGGAGTGTGTGCGAACGAAAACGGGATGGGCTTGTGGAGACGCGACTGACGTCAACCTTTTTCGTACAAGCTTGCGCGACGTCTCCTTAGACCGCGCGAAACTGAGGGGAAAATAAGGCGCGGTAGTCAAGGAAGCAGGCGGGGGAGTTGCAACGGAAAGCTACTAGGCAGGGGAGCGTAGACACGACGTGCATGCCAACTTGCTGGCTACTTGAAGGGGAGAGGGAATTAGCAGATGACACCTGATTCGTCGTTGGACTTCACTCAACTGCAGTAAAAGAGCGCCACCTTCTCCTTCCTCCTTGCAGACACCGACTTATGCCGACTGGGGGTGGTGGAGTTGAGGCTAATCGAGCGCGGTTTACCTGGGTCAGAGGCTAGTAAAAGAGATGGGGTTAAAAAGGAAGGTGAGCAAAAAGGAAAAGAGGGCAGGAGGAATAGCCCGCGTCACTGTACGATAAGAGTTTGCAAAGGTATCACTGCCAAGCACTAGTGTTACGGACTTCGCCAGGGCTCGATCCCTGGTCTATCTTTTGCTGTTTCGGTGCATCCCATTTTTGGCCCTGTCTCTTATACACATCTAGATGTGTATAAGAGACAGCACACACACACACACACACACACACGCACACGCACACGCACACGCACACACACACACACACACGCACACACACGCACACACACAGTCGCACAAATGCACCGATCAAGTATCTCATGGAATCCGCAACCTCCACGACTGGGAGACGGACATGATGAGGGAGAACCGTGGACGCCCACCCACCCCACAGCAGGAATGGCAACCGGTAGATTACAATGTCATAGGGTGCTGCTATGGATGGAGGAGAGCGGCCGGTCCCTAGACGACAAGGACGAAGAAGAAAGCCAGCGATGGCGGGCGGCCCTTCGGTGGCGACAGGGGCCAGCCCGCCGAGCGTGACGAGTGGTGCGTGTTTCGCTGTAGACGTCCCTTAGAACCGAAATCTGGAAACCGTCGAACGTTCGGCCTTTCGAATCTTCCTTTCGGGGACAGTATCGAGTGACTGTCACGGTGTCGCCGCTACTCCGCCACTCATCCAGGCTGATGTGGCAATTCCCCGCGCGTGAGAAAAATGCGCGCTCAACACAGCTCAAGTTCCAAGCACCCAATTGCATAGGAACGTTGGGACTCTGCCAACCAGGCGCTTCCCCGGTTCTGTCGCGTACCTTTTTCCACCCGCAGTTCTCACTGAAGCCTAAGTGGAAAGCCTCGTTGATTTCCGAGATCTTTCACCCAAATGGAGTGATTCTGTGAGAACTGCGGGTGGAATTCGACCCTCCCTTCGTCTTCCCCAGTGCACAAGAACCGGCTTATGAGCTGCGGAGATTGGGTCCTGTTTGAAAACGGTCACCATGGCAATACCTACCTGTCTGGCCCCGTCCGAAAAACATGCCAGTAAGCTGCACAAGAACCGGCTTATGAGCTCCGGAGATTCGGTCCTGTTCGAAAACGGTCACCATGGCAATACTACCTGTCTGGCCCGTCCGAAAAGCATGCCAGTATGCTGGCCCGTTGGGCCCGTCCGAAAAGCATATTGCCCACAGTGCGTTCAATCCTCACTGTCAACAGCGGTCCCGGCGGCGCCTGCACACACAGATTCGGGCTGGAGCACGGCACAGCTGTGACTGAGGGCCTCGCCACACCTATCTCCAAAACAGCGATTTGGGGCCTAGGTGCACTACTCGCCATCAGCCAAAATTTCGATTGCATCTCGATAGGTTCTCCCTCCATGTGCATTCAAAATCTTGGCGGATGGCCAGTAGTGGAACAAGGCTCTTGGAGAGAAGTGGCATCGCCACACCAACTCCCTAAAATCGCAGTCAGAAAGAATTTCGAGAGCCGTCAGAATGCGGTTCTCGGGAGTGCTCTCGAACTTTGTGGATGGCCCCGCCTGCAAAACACCGGATTTGAGGAGTGGTCCGGATTTGAAACACCGGATTTGAGGAGTGGTCCGGATTTGAGGGGTGGTCCGAGGCTCTCCGATTGCGGCCCCAAACTGGAGACTGAGCCTCGACCGACAACGTCTGTTGCCACCGTTTTGTCGTCTGCAATTCGAGAGCACTCTAGAACCGTGGAGGTCCTTTAAGACCCTGACCCCACCAGGCTGTGGAGCGGCCTCACCGCCACACTGCGCTCTCCAAAAATGTCGGGCCTTATCCAACGAATTGGAGACTGCCTCCTTGGAGAGCGCAGTGTGGCGACGAGCCCTCTAGAACGGTTTTTTCACATCTCCTGCGTTCGTGAGTGCTCCCAAACTTTTTTGCATTTTTCACACAGAATTCTATGGACAGGACCCATTTACTCAGATGTTTTGCTCACTGTTAGTAGTTAGTTAAGTAGTCAGTATGAAGCACTCAGCAGAAGTCGGGTCTCAGCAGTCCCGTAAAAAGCGAAACTGGCTAATGCTGCCAGAGATTACTCAGGGCTAGTGCAACAAACGGTGATCGGCTGACGCTGCCGGGATAACTCCGGGTGGAATTGTGAGGTCCCCGGCCTCTCCTCAACATTTGAATAATAATAATGAGACTTTACCAACAAACAAAAAAAAAAAAAAAAAAAAAAAAAAAACCTTTTACCGTTTTTCGGGATAGGTGTGGCGAGGCCCTGAGTCTCAAGCAAGATAGAGACACGTGACAAGTGTACACACAGATCGCGGTATGCGGTGCATGCCATAGATTTGCATCCAAGTCGGTTCTAAAGGTCTGTGTTCCAAATCAGAACTACTGCCTGTCAAACTAGGGTTAGAATCACGTTTGCACACGGTAATGCGAGGTTCCCCAGAACAGACCGTGCTGTCTTCTTAAACCACCAGTACTTGGCCCAGCTACTGAAGCCGAACCTGAATATGCCCTGCGCGGAGATTTCTGTCGAGCCTCCTCCCAAAAATCACATTTTGTTCATTTTGGGGTACCAGTACCGGTACCAGTTTTTGGCACCTCGGCCTCGTTTCCACTCCACTCCAACAGGCGCTTCACATTGTGAGGAGCTCTTTTCTGATAAGCGCCATCTTCTGCACAACCGGGATTGGGGGTACATAGAGTGGGTCAGGGACAAATTGCATGGCAGTCCCTCGTTCTTGTTTTTTTTTGACGTTTTCTTCTTGGTCCCTCGACAGAAGGGAGGCGGTGGTTATGAACTTCGGGGTATTTGGCCTGCGCCTTAGGGAGCGCAGGGGAACAATGTCTACTATGTCCTTTTTCTTTCTTTTCTTTCTTTTTCGACAGAAGTCCGTCTTTTTGGCGCGGCAATCGCGTGGGGAATTCCTTCGGAATTTTTGAATTGGGGATGAGCCCGCGCGGGTTCTCGAAATTTCTTTTTGCAATTAGGACCTTATTTAGACTAAGAAATTGGGTGCCTCGTAATTTTTGCCTGTAACTGCAGATCGCTTCCTGGGCCTGCGCTCTGTTCCCGCCGCGCCTAAATTTCAATCTCAACTGTAGTCTCTTCTTGCTCTTTCTTTACCTACACAGATGTAACTGTAATCTCCCCTTTCTTGATATTCTTTCCCACGTTGCTGCGTGCGCTCTCCCTTCTCTATCTCATTGGCCAAATCGGTGCATGACTGGATCGAAGCGTGGAGTGAGGCTACGTCCCCCACGTCGCGGCCCAGCCATGCAGCCATAGGCACTTCCTCCTTCCTTTCTCCTATTCCTCTCTGTCAATCCCGGTTATTGTGTGCTGATGCACAAGCTATAAATTCAGCAAGCGCGATTAATTGGCTCTCTAATCTACTTGGGAGTTAGTGCGGTCGAGAGGATCGGCTAACGAGCAGAAAGACGGTGAGTAGAGAGTCGGGCGATCCGACGAGCCGGCGTTGAGTATGCGGGGTTGACACGTGGCCGCGAAGGACTGTGGCACGCGGGCGAGCCTGGATTGCATGCTCGGGCCAAGCGGGGTGACGACTCTGTATGGATTGGAGGTGCGGGCGACGGACTGCCCGCACCGGAAAGGTGCACAGAGAGAGAGAGAGAGAGAGAGAGAGAGAGAGAGAGAGAGAGAGAGAGAGAGAGAGAGAGAGAGAGGAACGGGAATATGGTGGAACAATGCCTTTCT